AATACAGAGCTCATTGAAAGCCAGTTTTCCAGCTGCTCTAATTTCCCACAATTTAATTTGTGTGCTGTCAAAAGCAACTTGGAGGCTTCCAGCAAGATGATAGAGCAATGGGTGAGGCTAAACAGAGGGTCTAAAATGTGCTGAATGCATTGCAGTCCCATGCTGTAAAAACATCTCCTAGGGCCAAATACAGGCAGCATAATATCCTAGTAAATTGGACCATTAAATAAAACTGTGAAGTCATAAAGCTGTAGCATTACCCTGAAATTAAAGCACTGTCACCTTTGAATTATGGAACAATTTAACAAGCATTTAGGAAATGTGCTTTTCAAGGCTGCATTTAACTATTACAGGTTATACAGTAGATGATGTGGCTTCACTCTCCTACTGGGTTTAAAATGACTTTCAGCTTGTGTGTGGTTCAGAATTTTACCAAGCTGAGAAAGTAATAAAACAATAAAGTTGAATAACAGAAGGTAAAATTAGGCAGTGACCTTTGCCTGGAGAACAGCTTTTTCATTCTCATTGCAAATTCAGATGCACAGGGAGAGCTCGCTAAATTGAGTAAACAGGAAAAAAACATCTAGTATGGATAGATATAAAAACATAATGATAACTTCTTTGTTGAAATAAAGGAAAAGTGTTCCTTATCTGCCTAGTTTAACAGTTTCCAGGTATGGAAATGTCTAGAAGGAACTAGTGGCACTCGATTTGCATCTATGATTACAGCGCCACTGCCTAAAAACGTAATGAAAAGAAAACAAAAAAAGAACGAAGATTTAAAAACCAAAGCTAAACCTCATATTGTGAAATAGGAATAGTGTTTAAAGCCCCAATTTCAAAAGCCACGGACATTATCTGTGCAGAGGCATGCCTCTGCAAAGTCATGTGCAAGTCATAGAGCTAAATTGCAGACAGCTGTGCACTGCTTTCTAGGTGTACTGATCTGTGTGCATGTCAAGACTGCAGCTATGTTTCTTACGCAGGTTCTGAAGCACGCCTGAAATGCCAGTTCCCAAGCTGTTGTCACTAGGCTTCAGAGTATGCACTGATTGAGCTGTAATGGTCAATTCCTTTACCTCATTCCAAGGCATGCAGCTGTATTCTGGAAGCAGCTCTAGCTAAGTTCGTGCGTGTGAATTTGAGGAAAAAGATACGACCTTTTACTTAATGCTGCTGGGTTTAAAGTGGAGAAAATGGTGCTTGAATAAAAGCCGAAAGTTGACCTGAATGGTGAGGGTCTTCAGAAGAAAGGCTGGGAATATTTTTGTGTAGTTTTCAGATCTATGGAAGCAGGTACACGTACGTAGTCTTGCTATTGTCTTGGAATGGTTTAAGAATTTACTGCCCTCCTGGTCTTAGTTACTTCTCTCTCAGTTGGCTGAGATGCAGGAGGGAGAAGTGTCAGCTCTCCCACTCTGTCCAAAGCAAACTAAAGATTAAATTATTTTCAGGCTCATTTGCTGCATGTAAACAAAGGAGTGTCCTTTTGAAAGAAGGAACTTTCTCTGTTGGGTTGTGGGTTTTTTCTGTCTGTATCTAGCAGGTTGCATGTGACTTCGTGCACATTACCTAGCCCGTCTGTGCCTCACATCCCTCTTGCTAAAATGGGTGTACTTATTTTTACCCTGGGAAGTGGGAGGAAGTGGGACTGAAATAGCTGAATTCATCTCTCTCCTTCCTCTAACAGTGTTGTCACAGCCTCTTTAGTATTGCATCTGCGGTGTGTTAGGCTGCCCTTCTAATCTGAAGACTTCCTTTCAGACTACAAGTTGTTAAAGCATCTTTCACTACTTTTTTGGTGGTGTTGTCATTGTTCTTAAAAATAAAAAAGGCAGTTTCTCTCTGCTTTTTCTGCACCAGCTACACAGGGAAAAAACTTTTGAATGGTGGTAGCTTTTGCCATCTCACAGGGATGCTTGCTGGTGCCTGTGACTTTCACTACTAGGTTAGTGAGCTGAATGTATGTTTTGTGAGAATGTGCTGATCGTTACCTTTACTTCCAAGATGCAACACAGAGGGAATCTTTGAAGTGGCCAGCAAAGCACAGATCTCATTGATCTGTAAAATCTCTGAAATGTAAATCTGGAATTCTTCCCTTCTGCTGTTAGATTTTTGAACTCTCTGTTCTTATGTACTTGCAAAATCACAATTACTTTGAGTACAGAAACTTCATTTTTCCTTTCCCTTCGCAAACTAGAGGATGGAAAATCTGAAGTTAGCACCTCAGTTCTAAAAGACCCTGTGGAGAAAAGCAGTTCTTGAATGTCATAGTTCAGATCTCAGGACAGCTGAGTGCAGCTGTAATGATAACAAGACCATTGAAAATTAGTAAACAATCACAGAGGAAAATCAGAGAAAGACCTGTCGTATTGTCTGTCCAACACACTTGTTAACAAGTGCTTGTCACTAGCAGTATGTTTGTTGAAGTCTTGTCCAACCTCATTTCAAACATGTCAATTAATTATGTTTCTAACACTTCTTGGGAAGACTCTTTTATGCTATGGTATTTTTAAGAAGTTTTTCCTAGTAATCCTATGTTGCTTCTAAATTACTAGATCTTTATGCTTTCAATTTTTCAGATACCCACACAGCACCTTTCTTGGTGCACAAATGCACAGCCTGGAAAGCACAGTGGTGTTAACCACTCTGAAACTCTAACCTGTTGTACTTCCTGAACAGCACTGTAGTCACTATTGTAAGCATTGATTTTATTGCAATTTCTCAAAATTATGTTAATAACTCTCAATGGGGAGGATCTTATGATAGCCAATCTGGACTTCAGCAACCAGTTAATTCCATCATCTCTTGGTTTTACATCTTGCTTACAATATCAGCAACTTGATGTTTATCTTTTTAGTAGTTTTTTTCAGTGAAGGCAGGAGTTAAACTTCTTCCAACTTCAGAGAGAGGAAAGTTAGAACACCCTCAACTGTTTCTTAAAAATCCATTCTGTTCATGTCAGTCCTTGAGAGAACAAAAATAAAAACAGAGTGACTCTGGCTGATAAGAATCACTACTTTCAGATGCATGTTATGAAGTCATTGAATTATATTGTGTTGAGTGCAATATGTGTGCAGGACTGTGCAGAGTATTGTGCTACAGTGTTGACTGTGATTGCAACCACTGGGGCAAGTTTTACAAGCAATAAATTTGTAATATTTCTTATGATTTTAATCTAACTTTTGTGTATCACACATTGCAGCAGTGTTTCTTTGAGCTCCAACTCACAGGATCCATAAGCAGCATCCTGAACTCAGTAAGAACCCCAGAATTACAGATCTGTGAGCAAACTTTTTGTGTCTGCCATCACAGGAATGATGATAGTGTTGTGAGTGAATGTATGGTTTGCTGAGCATAAACTGACCTTAAGTTAATGGCATACATTACTGGGAGAGTAATTTCCCCATAACTTGCAGCTTGGACTTGGAACAGACCTCTTTAAATAGTCTCCAGATGGTGGTTGTTACTTGCTTGTCATCGGAATGCCTCCATTGTGACAATCCATTAAATCATCTGAGTGTCTTTGCATTCATAGTCCATTTAGGATCTTTATACACCTATTAGAGTTCTTTTCAAGTAATCTGTGGGATGTTTGTAGCCTAATGAAAAATACTTCAACTGCAGTGCATTACAGTGGCTACACAGCTACTGGGCTTGTTATGCCAGTGTTTTGGAGAGTAACTGGAAAACTCACGCAAGCTCTGCAAGAATTTAGATCAGGTAGTCTGGTAAAAACATCTGAAAACTTAGATACATAGTTTTTAAGATCAGTTTAGAAAAGATCGGATTCAGTGTTATCCAGGGTTTCCCTATTGAAGCAGAAATAACAAAATAGAATTTCTTGTCTAGATCTTGCCACTTCCTCTGTAACTCTCCGTAGTTTACTCCAAGTGAGATTGAAATCTTCCTTTCATCAAATAACTAGAATTTATTTCCTTAAATTTTTGCCCAGTCAGTATTTTGTAGGCAAGCAGGGTCTTTGATAAAGAGGGAATTTAATGGATGTAACTCTTCATAGTATTGTGGAGTGCGTGCAGGGCTGAGTCCTGTGAATGCTTATTGAAGGGTTTGCCTTTTACTCTGGGTCACCTCGGCAGATTGGCCATTCAGGCTGTCCTTGTTATTTTACCTGTTACTATCTCAACAGAACCAGCTGGGAAACAGTCTCCCCGCTAAGCTAATTGCTTCTAATTGCCATGTTCTGTATATCATGCCAACCCCAATACTGCTCAGAAGCTGAGTTGTTACAGTGCTAGTTGTTCGCAAGCCTAGATTTTGCTTTTTGTCACCTACGATATTTCTTGCTCTGCCAGTAAATGCAGTGAAGGAGATCAGAATGGGCTCCCCAGCATGGAAAAGCATCAACATTTACAGTTAACTACAGATGTTAAATCATATGTTATTCTGTACCATCATTTAAGTACAGCATCACTCAATTTATATACAGAAAAATCTGAAAACTGAATAAAATCAGTGATCTGACTTCCAACTGGGTGGTAAGAGCATACTCTCAGTTTTCTGGCAACAGTTTGTGGTGAGTTTGTGCAAGCCCATCAGCCACAGTTCCCTGCTACTCCTTGTTGTTACAGCAGTGTGGGCTTTGCTCTTAGATACAGCTGTTTGCAAAAGATCAGTGGTACCCCCATGAGCCATATTATTATCTCTTTTCTTTCAGGGCCAAAGCTAGCTGAAAGGTATCTTATTTTCTTCAGATACCTGGTGATAGAAGATGCTGCAAATCTCCTGTGGTTCCCGGGGAGCTGGTAGTTTCTTTCTTGCTCAGCAGGCTCTGTAGTGTTTGCTTGAGCTGGTTCAGAGAGAAACACCTCTGTGGGCTACACTGTCCTGTAATAGGTCTTCATCACAGAGTGACCAGGGTCCTGGTGATGCTCTCTCCCATGCAGTAAAACGTTAGATTTCAGTTGAGTTTTTTTGTTCTCTGCTTGTTGTAAGTTTTTTGCTGTTAACTTCCTATTCAATCCTTTTTCATTAAACAGAAGATAAGATCTGGACTACAGCGCAGCACAACAACACAGGGCTAACCAGAGTCCAAAGAGCTGATATGGAGAAGCCCTACACTATGTTCTTTAATTACAACAGCAGCGCGGAGCAGCTTGAAGCCATGATAAACAGTGCTGAGTACTGCGAACAGGAGGCAGCCTACCACTGCAAAAAGTCACGTCTCCTGAATACCCCAAGTAAGCACCATGATCTCAGATCTTTCCTTGTTAACTCTTATTGATTATACAGCAGATACAGGCTGCACTGTGACTGATGAGAAAAAACAAAACAAAACAAAAAACCACAACCAAAATGAATACAGAATAGAGTGCAAAGCCTTTTACCTTCTTGGATTCCACTGTGCAGTGCCTGTCCTCTGATACAAGAGGGTCAGAGCTCGGCAGGGGAGTTTCTGCTTTGGAAGTTCATGCATATAAAGGCTCTGAAAGCTTCCGCAATGGAAAGTCCTACTAAGAAGTCACAAGAGCTGTATTTAACTGATGGTAAATGGATATGTTTATTAATTTACAGGTTTTAACTGTATATTAAAGATAGGAAGCATCCAGATTGTTCCATATACTTATGATGTTTCTAGAGAGGAAGGGTGTACCATTTTATGAGTCACAAAGCCCTAAATATGATGTTTAAGGTGTTTGGTTGTATGGTTTCTGAGGCAAAACTAATTTTCTCCTCATGATAGAAGGAATAAGTTTTCTTCCCTGACTTAATGTAGCAGCAACAAGAAAGCAGAATGTACGTTTGTGTCTCTCTGTGGTACCAAATTTCCAGTGTCTACTCAGGATGGCTGCCTTCCACTCCCTTGGAATTGAGATTTTATGTTTGCTTATCCAGAAAGATGAATGACATTAAGTCTCATCTAGTTACTTGTAATGTCTGTATGGTCCTGGTGATTCTTTGATTATTAGCAACTCTTAAATTTGTTAGTAGATGAGAAGAAATCCCACGGAAAGCCTTAAGGGGAGCTTGCAGTGGGAGTTCCTGTTGTGTTAAAAATACGTTACCTAATGAGATGTATCTAAAACTGCCTGATTCCAGCAAAGTTACTATAACACTGAATATTTATGGATCCAGTAATCAGATGCCTTACAGTCAGTTTATTTTTAAAACTTTGGAATCATGTCTTTTGTTATCATCAGAATTTACCAGCCAAGACTAGCCATTACTAATAATTTCTTAAATAATAGAATGTTAATATCAGCATCCAGGGGGGAGCCCAGAAGGAAAACAAAATGCAGGCATAACTGCTCATAAAAAGGGGCAAGTAATGTCTTAAAAACAGTTTCAGAGTTGCTTGCTTGGTATCCCACACCATACTTGACATATTATAAAGATATAATCACACTGTGATTATTTCCAAAATATTTAAGGATGAAGGCCACAATATTAGAGCAGGGCTGCATGTGTTTACTTTTACACATTTCTGTGAGGTACTTGGTCATGCGTACACAGGAAGGTACTATGACTGCACTTTAAAATACCTTTGTATGTGGTGCCTTTATAAAGCTAGTGATACTTCTTAAGGATCCAAGACCATTACTCCTTTAGAAGAAAAAAAAAAAACCCTCCCAAAAAAAACCCCAAACAAACAAAAAAACCAACTAACCAACCAACCAACCAAAAAAAAACAAACAAAAAAGTAATGATAATTTATCTACCAGCTGGCTAAGACAATTCCTGAAAGGCAGCTCCTTCTCCACTTGTCCAAGACCAAAGCTGTGACTCTGACTCCTCAAGGAAGAGCACACAGGGATGGTGTCCTGCAGCCTGCCTTGTGCTCATGCAGCTGCTGCAGTGCCACTGTGGTCCTGACAGTTGATCACAGAAGAATTGCACAACTCATAAATCTCCAATACCGTTCCAGCTGATAAAACAGAAAAAATTTCCGATCCAGTGCTGTGCATGTGGCGAACACCATCATTTTTTCCTCTTTTTTTCTTCCTTTTGTATGCTTTTTAATTATACTTTCAATTTTTCATCCTGAACATTCTCAGTAACGTAAGGCTGTGAGATTGGCAAGATGTGGAACATGATCAAAAATAAATCATTTGAGTTCTTGAAATGACAAGATATGGGTAACAATTTGTTCTTAGCTGAGTATTAAGTGTTTTAAAATTATTGGCATTTTTTCCCCAAAGCCCTAAATAGCTCTATTAATCGATATTCATTTTGAGATAACTGCTGCTATATTATAGAAAAGCCTAGAGACCCAGTGGTGCTGAACACTATAGGTGTCTTGAAGAGTTCTATGATTTAAAGAATTTACATTCCTAAACTTGAATATGAGCTACAACTGTGAATAACCTAGAGCATTTTGGTGGACTTTATGCAGAAGGTTGTCACCTGTGTTGTTTATACCCAGAAGTGACTGGAGGGAGTTTGATTTGGGGCCAGAACAACAGGAGAAAAATAAAAACTCTTGGGTTTTGTTTCCTGATTTAGCCTAGGCTTTTGGAAGCCCAAAGCACTATGTTCTCTCTGTGTTGCCAGGTATCATAAGGTGTAATTACAGTTAACGAACCACACTTCAAATCTTCCTTCAGAAGATAGTATACAATGCACACATATTGATGACAATGCAGCTTTTATAGGCCAGCAGGAAACATTACATGACCCAATCCAGCCTGCTGAATATCACCACTCATTAATATCTCTGGAATAAGCCCAGCAGTGAATGCTTGATGGGAGGGCATCTTACAGAGGTATATCTGATCTTGACAGAGCCAAACACTTCTGCTTCCTGCAAGGAATCAAATCCATTTTTGAGCTTCCTGTCATTATAGGACTTTGTTCTTTTTCTTCCAGGGAGATGGAACACGTGATTAGGATATCTCAGCTGGTAGCACCAAACCCCCAAATCCTTGTCTTCGGGATCTAAACACTGTCATGTTTCACAGAGAAGCAATAAAAATCTTTCCTTTTGATTCATAACATTACTCTCCAGCAAAGATGCATGTTCTTACATAGCAATTTTGCCTTTCACAGCTTTGACATGGGGAAAAGAAAAATAAAAAAAATACGTGCATGGGCAAAGGGACAAGCATAGTACTCTGGGCTGCCCCAGAGAGAAACTAAGGGAGGCTCCCGGCTTACATAAAGTTGTTCCAGTTTATATCAAGGAATTTGTCTTTCCTCTCTTCCTACTAGCTTGTGCCCCGAAGACATAGGCACATCCCCAGTGGGTGTGATTCAGCGTAGTCTCCCCATTGAGTTACTTCAATTTCCATCTGCAATGTGTCAGACATGCAATCTGGCAGTTGGCAAAGTTTACTCATCTCTACCTCCTGCAGTCTGGAACAGCCTTATCAGTTCTCACTGTCGTACTATGGCTTAGCTGTAAGCATTTCTTTTAAAACTAAACTTAAATTGCCCAGAACTGCATTTTTGTACATTTCTGCCATCAGGTAAGTTTTCAGGATGTTTATGAACATCAGAATAGATATCTCTTCATCAAAAGAATAGCTGGCTTTCTCATGACGCTGGCAAATGAAACTTACAATTTATGACCAGTAATTGCAAGTCTCTTGTGACTTGTCCATGCCTGTTGGAAGGACACGCACATAACCAGATCAAATCTGACAGTTGGCATTAATTAGGAAAGTCATTCACACTCTTACTAAACATTGCAGACTTTGCCACCACCTCATACTTAGAAGCACAGTCTGAGACAAGGAAGCAGGAGAGGAGGGGCTTGGTCAGGAAGCTTGGGCTACTTTTAAATGTGCTGTCTGTATTCTGGGAATCTGAAAAGAAATTTAGACACCTAGGGCTCTGATTTCCTTTCTTTGTGGAGCATCTTGGGTAATACCTAGGAAAAGGGTATGTGTACGAGGATTGGTGTTTGCATGCACATGCATGTTTAATTAAACTGTTAACATACAAGAAGGTCCTTTCCAACCCAAACCATTGTATGATTCTGTGTTTGAAGGTATGAAAATGCTATTAGCTGAACAAACCATCAGCTCTGAATTTGCTGAGTTTTCTAGAAGCTGTGGGTGTACTCAAAGGCTTAACGTTTGGGAAGCTGCCTCACATCCACCTCATCAAGGACTTAACACAGTGATGGCCATATCAGTGTCAGGATAGCTTACTTTACAATACTTGGCTGACAGTCTGTCAAGTTCATAGCATATTTGTGTAGGCAGGGACTGAGAAAAGATCAGTCCTAGAGCAAAATCAAAGAAGCAGGAATGTCTTTAGGTGGTATTTTTTCCCTTCTTTCTTCCTTACTTTTGTTTCTCCAATAGAATTCCCATGCCATGTCACCACAAGCTTTGATTTCAAACATCCCTCCTAAACTATGCCTGAACTTCTGCCTGTCCCTCTTAAGATTTGTCAAGCCCCAGTATTATTCGTCTTGCACCCAGGCTTCCACCTCCTCTTCCCCTCTCTACCTTCCAGCTAGACCTGTATCTCAATGCCAAGCTGCATCATGTCCCATCTCTAGGTCTCTGATTCCTTATGCGGAACAGCTATTTGCCCTCACCTGTGAACCACTGCATTTGCATTTCGTACCTCTATCATTGGAGGGAAAGATGTGGAGGTACATTAGAGCAGGAAGTGTGCCTTAAATTCTGAGTTTAGACTTTAGTTTAGACTTAATTCTGCTGCTAAGACTGTTCAGTGCTGTTTTATCCATGCCCTGTATGTTGCTAGAGCTCTTCATCTGTGCAGGCTCTCTCTTTAGTTCCAGATGAGACCTCGAATGATTTCAGAGCATAAGATGCCAGGAGATGTCCTGCAGGATCTTGCCTCAAATAGTGTCTGTTGGAGAGCTGCAGCTTATGTTGACATGTCTGGATGTCTTCAGCACATCATTGAATATGTTCCCATCACCCACAGTTGCTCTAGTAAAGACATTAGACTTTATGCTATTGCCAGTCACTTTTAGTATCCACTATGGAGCTGATGTTCATAAATTTCTCTAATCACTTTTTCAACTTCATTATATTATTGGTCTCTGCAGCCTCCTAGGAATGCAGCTTCCAGCAGTTCCTTGCTTGACATGTACAGAACTACTGGACTTTTGAACATGTTTTAAATTAATGTTTTAGTCAGTTCACTGAGTTCTGGTATTGCAGGATGTGGTGAATCACTGTGCTGCACTCATCCAGTGCTTTTTAGTCCTTTTAGTTGCCCTTCTTGGACCTTCACTAGCACTGGTATTTTTTTCACCAGA